CCCTCTCGCAGTCAATAGGGGGGTGAGCCGAGGGGCGGGGCGCTCGCCGGGGACCGGCGCTTGCCTCGACGGTGCGGGCGCTGCGGCGGCCGCGGCACCGGGGGGCGGGGGGCGGGGGGGGGGGGGGCGGGGCGGGGCCCGGGCCCCCCCCCCCCCCCCCCGGCGCCTGCCCAGGGCCGCCTGCCCGCCGAGGCTGCCGGAGAAGGCCTCCACCATTGCCATCACCACCGCTATCACCACCGCCATCGCCTGCTGCCCGGAAGGGACGGAGAGGGGCTGGGCACCGCTTCCCCGGGCAGAGGCAGCAGCCGGGCCAGGGCAGCGCAGGGGATGGCCGTGCCAGCTGGGTGCAGGCAGATGCCCGTCCTGCCCACCACGGCCCCAACACCCCCCCAGCCCAGTGGGGCGGCAGCCTCCCTACCTCTGGCCAGGGACTCGAAGGGCTCCAGGGGGTCTTCGCTCAGGATGTGGGCGTCCTCCAGCCGAGGGGCGATAGGCGACGCGTCCCCCAGGCAGCCACTGCCCACGCCGGGGGCCAGGACAGGCCCCTCCTGCCCAAGCGGCACCACGCCGGGGGCAGACCCGTTGTAGCTGCAGATCTTCAAGTCTAAAGGGAACAACCGACCAAAAACAGACCCTGTGGCAGCGGGATGTGACGGTGACAGAGCCTGGGGCCTGGCCACCCCCGCCCCAGACCTGGCACGAGGTGCTGCCGTTCCCTGCACCGGGGCGGTTGGCTGCTGGGCCTCCCCCTGGCACCCAGCCCTCCCGTGGCACCCCGCCGCCCCGGGGCTCGCGCACACACCCGCGCAGCGGGAACGCTGCTCTGCCGGCGGTGACACCGTGGGCTGTGCCAAGCCTGGTTTAACGAGATCCCAACACCAACTCCGAGTTGTGACAGGCCAAACCCCGGCCGGGACACGGGGCAGGTGGGTCGGCAGGTTTGGGCCTCCCCGGGGAGTCGCAATGCCCAACTCCACTGTCCTGGCTCTGGATCCAGCACCTGCCTGTCAGGGCCGCGGTGCCCCAGTCCGGAGCTCTGCCCGCCCGCACCGGCAGCGCCAGTCTCCTACCTGGCTGCGCCTCCTCCAGCTCCATGCTGCCCACCAGCCCGCCCCCGTTCTCCGTGATGGCGGGGGGGATCTCTTTGGCTGCGGCGTCAGCATCTCCCTCGCCAGCACCCGGCTCCTCCGGCGGGCCCGGTGGCAGTGAGAAGGGCTGGGTGCCAGAGCCCAGCATGGGGGAGGGCTGGGCGGCCGTGTAGAAGCCGGCCGGCCCGTTCTGCATCAGCTCGAAGCTCTGGTCGTGGAAGGAGTCGTACAGCTCCTGCGAGTCGAAGTTCAGCCCCATGGGGCCGGGGGTGCCGTTGCCCCAGAACTCCTGCCCGGCCCCCCGCAGGTTAGTGCCGTGCCCCGGGGACGCCGGCCGGGATCCCCCGGAGACGCCGTTGAGTGGGAACTGTCCGAGGCCAGAGAGCGGGGGGGCGGTGGGGCTGCTGTCCTTGATGCCGCCGGCGGGCGGGTACGGCGCGTAGTCCCAGAGGCAGTCGTAGGTGCGGAGGGGCGGTGTGCCAGCGGGCGGTGAGCTGGGGGTGAAGGTCCCTGAAGTACTGGGGTGAGATACAGTAGAGAAGCCATTGACATTCATGCCCCCGTTCAGACCTGTCAGGGAGCCAGAGGAGAGACAGCCGGGTCAGCGGCGCGGCGGGGGCATTCCTCGACGCCCTCCCTCGCGCAGAGCCAGCCAGGCCCCGCCAGCAGCACATGAGAGAGTTTGAGGACAGACGGACAACCTGCCCCAGCAGTCATTGAGCCCCCCGCCCCTCCGGTGCCCCGCCGCCCCAGCGTGACCACTGCCTGTGCCTGGACAGAGCTGGGCGGTCGCACCCCCGAGATCCCCCGGTGCAGCTCCCTGCTCGGCAAAACTGGCCCTGCCATGGGGCTTTGCCGGTGTCGGGCTGAGAGCTGCAGGATGCCGGGGATTAGCCGAGCACTTGGCAGGGCTGTGCCGGATCAGCTGACCGGCCAAATCCATGCAGAGACCCCATTCCGGCACAGCCGCTTTTCTAGGCCAAGGCGACGGTGGGCACGCGACAGACCCCTGGCCCCAGCCCCGTGCGCGGGGAGCTGCTGCCAGCCGCGTTGCCATGGTCCCTCTGCCCCCCCGACCCCAGCGGGGCTGTGCCGGCCCCATGGGGGCACTTACTTTTCCCTTGCGGGGGGAAGCTGAGCGGGGAGCTGTGGGCGAAGGGGCTGTCCCCTGAGGCAGGCGTGGGTTTCGGTCCTGAGGCAGCGGGTGCAGAGGAAAGGCCAGTGAAGTTAAAATGGTTGTTTGTTTCCATTTCTGCAGAAGGGAGAACAGGCACCAGGGTCAACCGCTGGCGGGGACCGGGGCTGCCAGCACAGCAAGTGCCCAGCCCTGCCACCCACCACCGGGGCCCATGGGGAGGGTGGGGACCCTCCGCTCCCATGCCGGGGCAGAGCTGCTGCCTGTGACAGGGAGCCCGGGGAAGTGCTGGGTCCCCAGCCCAGGGCAGGGCGAGCTCCCGACCCAGAGCTCGACGGAAACATGGTAGGGCTGGGGAGGGCGAGAAGCAATGGCGAAAGCCCCCCGGGACCACAACGACCCTCGCCAGGCCCCCAGCGCAGCGGAGACGACGCTGCCTCTGCCGCGAGCCGGCCCAGGCCCGGCAGCCCCAGCGGGACGAGCCACCACCTGCGTGAGCACAGCTCATCACCGCGCTCCAGCGTCCCCAGGGACGGCCGTCACTGAGAAACCCCGCTTGCTGCCCGCCCGCGCTTCTTCCCACATTAAACTCAAGCACTCGGCTCCCTGGCGCCGCCATCCCAGGGCCCCGGCACGGGGTGAGACCGCGGGAGCTCCAGCAGGCTCCTGGCTGGCGGAGCTGTGGGGGCTGTTTCCCAGTGAAGCACTGGCCCCCCCCCGAGCAGGTCTGTGACCCCACGGGGCCCCGGCACAGCCCAGCGCTCCCCAGGGAACGCTGTGCTCCCGGCACAGAAACGCCTCTGCGGTGACAGCCGGTGCCCCTGCCGCAGCCGCGATCCCCCCAGCCAGAGGGGACCTGAGCCCCATCCGCCCCAGGCGTGGCTCAGGGACGCCTCCGCGGCAGCCACCCGAGGCAGGAGCCGGGCTGGCCTCGTGTCACAGCCAGGAGCGAGCAGGAGCTGCTGGTGACCTTCACCACCCGGGAGGAGCAAACGCTCCCTCCAAACCAGAGAACCACAAGGAGGGCTCCCGGTGGGGGCTAGCCACAGGACAGGACCCTGCTGTGCCACCGGCACAGCCACCAGCCACCCAAGGGGGTCCCAGCACGTGGGGCAGGGGAGCAGACGGTGGGGGGAGCCAAGGCCCTGCAAGCCCAGCAGATGAGATGGGAACCCCAGTGCTGGCGGGGACCTGCGGGGACACCCCACGGGGCTGCCATAGCCAGCATCGCCCCGTCCTGTCATGCACGCCAAACCTGCTATTGGCCGAGGCGGCACCGGCTCCACCGACCTCTCCAGAAGGGCCAACGCCGCCACACACTCGGCAGACGCGGCGCTTCAGCAGCAGTGGCACAGACTGTGGCGAAACCCAGGCGGGGATTTCATCACACCCTTGCCCATGTCGGCCAGTGCCCCGGCGGGGACCAGAGGGGCCGGGGCTGCTGAGCGCTCTCCCGGCCAGCCGGGGACACCGGTGATTCATCCGCCAGAGAAACCCGTATGGGCGGTGACGCAGCTGCCACACGCACGTTGCTCCCCGACGTCCCGGGGCGGCCCCCAACCCCCCCCCCCAACCCGC